CTGCAAAAGCATAAAGATACCTACTTTTTATTATGGCTTTGTATTGATATAGAAAGAATATGAGTAGTTTGATCACATGTTAATGTGCTTTCAATAAGTGAGATTTCATCAGGAAAAGTATCATTGAGAAAAGGTTCAGCACAAGAAGTCCTCATTGTCATGTAAGAAAATAACAAAAATGGTTTCGATACCTTACCTTCAAACTGTTATGAAATGTGTATCCTGTCCCTTTTCCTTTTCTTTGTGTTCATAGTTTCTCTGAAAAAGTATAATATGGAAATGAGATATTTGCCAGACTTAGCTTTCATTGATTATTCTGGAAAATGACACATCTAAGACTAAAAACCAGGAATCTAACACAGTAGCTTTACAAGGTCGTGATAAAAATTTGTTTAACACTATTTTGAGGCTAGCTATGGAAAACACTGACCAGTCTTTATTATAAACCTTCCAACCCCCATCCTCAAAAAAAAGTAGAACCAAAAATCTGCACATTGTAGAAATTTCAATTAATAGAGGACCATGTATTTTTCCAAAGTTTAACCCTACATGGATCACTGTTCCACAACGAGTTACTTTTACGGAACATCAATGTAACAATATGGATGAACTTCCTAGATATGAGTTTTTTGTTTTCTCGATTTAAACTTATGTATAAGTCATGTTGCGGATTATCATTTGACATTATCACGGTGTTATAGCATGACGGTTACGACACCTCTGAAAAAGAGATTAGACGACTACGATCACTGATTTAAGAAAACAGAAAACTAAGGTTGGTGCAGTATTTTCTTCTACTGTGTATCAATGAAAGGATGAACGATTTTTGTAGACATCGCATTCGGTGATGCATTTAGTAATGTATAGTTCGAACGTATTTTTTGCAAATTGATGCCCGGGGATAACATGAAATAAGCGAAAAACTGTTGAGTTTGAAATTCAAAACTTCACAAAATTTAGTAATTTGTTTGTTTTTGTTGTCAGGGCATGGTCTACATTGCTTAACGACCTCAGGGTATATAGATGTAACCAACATACGATCATAAAAAGCGAATTGAGCATTGGAAACCACCTAATATGTTCTACTTAAGCCATAATATTGTATTTTTAATTTGCGGTTACGCCAAAAATTGATTGACGGTTACGCGAACCTCGTTCAAATATGTATCCCAGATTCATTGATATTAATTTTGTCATATTCATCAGTACTTGATGCTAATTCTTCTTTTGCCTCTTCATTGCTATCTTTTTTACTTAAATTGGTTTCATTAATAAAGCAAGACACAATTTTTTCCTTGCCCTATAGAGGCTCAAACAAGAGCGTCTCTTGCGAGTCCTGAAAACAAATATAAGCAATTCAATATTCCATTTCTTACCCATTATAACAATTACATGGAAAGAGGCTATCAGAACTAGCAACCTTAACTTGAAAGATGTACATGCACGTCACCGTCCGCTGAACATCTAATGTACATCTAATACAATACGTTACCGTCCATAGAATTCATACGTAGTCGTCTAACGACATTGCGTTTGAAACCTTATTATTTACAATATGACCACGTTCCTGTTCTGAATATGTCATTTTATGGCTTAATAGTTTGAGTGGCTCTGAGGCACATATACTGAGAAATCACGAGAATGGACTAAAAAATATGAACTTGGACATCTCAGTCGGTAAGTTTACAGCTTATATTCCGCTTCTAGTAAACCACCTGGCAGATTTGACCCAGTCTTTATAACCATCCATATATATGTCACCGAATGGAACTAGTTAAAAAGGAAATCTTATCTGTGAATCTTGCCTACAGGCGAGAAAGAGGACATGCTGTCTTTCCCATCCACCATTTTTTGTAATCATTACCGCAAAATTTTGCAAATCGCCTTGTCGTAACCGTCATGCTATAACACCGTGATTATTAGATAATAAATTTTACTACTTGTGAAATGTGAATATTTATTCTGCTATATATGAGTCTTGTCATGATTACAAAATTTGAAACAAGGCATTAACACGTCAAAATGTCACCACATAATTGCTCACAATATAATGAATCTTTTTTGACCTTGAGAAGGTCATTAAAGTTAATTAAATCAGATGTACATCAGATTTAAACACCTGAGAATTTGTAGTAGGGCAGGTATGAAATATTTCAGGCAAAATGTGTGACATATACCATATCCGCGTGAAAAGTCTGAACGAAATGCGTTCATTTTTTTTTCATCGTTCGGTTTTGTGGTGTATCACCGATCATTTTTGAAAGTTTTTCTACAGGAATATTTTTGCTGGACAATAATCAGGTAAATTGCATATTTGCATGACAAACTCTGTCACGCAAAAAAAAACTGTCGTGACTTCAAATTTTCCAGCAAATGCGTGACAAATACGCAAATTGCGGGACAGTTGGATGGCCTGGATGTACCATAAATCTTGCAATATTGGATAAAAAATTGTAAAAAAGTGTAGCTTGTAAAGATCGTAGTTTATTGATTTATTTTTGACTGTGAGTGATTCCGCCCCGTCGATTCCTACTATCAATAATAACTGAAGGTCATACTCTCAAATCAAATCAAAACTTGATTTCATCGCTTTTAATTATATTTATGCGACTTATACACTTGTGTATCTCATACTTAAGTGGGTTTGGGGTAGATATCACTCGGGAATATATATCATATCTGAGGAATGGGCAGGGTATATTGTATATGTCCCGCTCCAGGCCAAATGCGGGCAGATATAATATATCCATCCCGCTCCCGGGAATTTTTCAAAAGTTTAAAAAAGTTTAAATATCAAAAGTTTTAATTTTCTAATTTTAAAATTTAATTTTTTTAAGTTTAAATGTTACAATTTCATTGTATTGAACAAAAAGAATATTACGAAAATGTTAAATATAAATATCTGGTCATTTGAAAAAGGTCGAAAAGGTTATATCTACCCTAAACCCACTCAAGTATGAGATACACCAGTTATGCACAGTCGGTTTGGATACATGGAATATCCCTTGGGATATACAATACATCTTCCCTCGGTCCCTTCGGTCCCTCGGGAAGATATATTGTATATCCCTCGGGATATTCCCTGTATCCAAAACCTCCCAGTACATAACCCTTATATATTTGACACAGTTTGATTGAAAACATTACCAGATTACCAGGGAGGTGCAGGACTATAAGTCCTGGAATTGGATAAGACATGGCCCTTGTTAGTCCATAGGGAACTATTTTCGACAATTGCCGATAATTCATATTTTCTGGGTCAGTCGTCTTGAACAAGATCTCGCCTGTTGGTGATTTCAATCTTCTTTTAAAATTTTTCAAAAACAAAGGGGGACTTCGTTAAACGGAAATATAAGCCAATGTCAAAAAAGCCCCATGGTCAGGTCTAGTCTATATCCAAATTTCAAAAAAATTTCAGACTACTACTTTTTTCATATCACCTTTGTTGCATCGATGATGATGCATAAACATAGCATTTGATAGAAATTAGCGTAAATGCTTTTCCGACTTTTTCATTTTTCATCAATGTTGACTTCCGGGAAGGCGTTGTAGTTATCACGAAATAACGCATTGACCTTGAACTTTACTTTGTTGACGTGTCAACCAAGCATGTCTGGTGTGAAAATTAAAAGAATATTAAGCAATGTTCTACATCCGCCAAGCTAAGTGAAGTAGTCAATATTTAAAATTACCAATTTCAAGTGAAGTACGCAACGAACGAAACTGCGTGATCTACACTCCCACTATTGGTCTGAATGAAATGCTACGTAGAAATATGAGCCGTCTGCTGTATTAGTCGATTAATAGAGTAAGACCTGTTGGTGATGCTTTATAATTTAGACCAAAACATTGAAGAACAAACGAACCTGTAAATCATGAAAACAACGAACAAATATTCGGTTTTCACATATGTTCGGTAATTTTTCGTATTGAAACTTCCGGAACTTACAAGGAAATCATTCATTTTCTCGATCCATGATTTACCTCTTGGATGTTGTGGCAAATGCTCCATGGTTGACGGAACAAAGGTGATATGGTTTCATTAAGATTCGGGTTCTAACCTTTAGAAGGTAAGACAGACTCCCAAACGTCAGCTAACTCTTAGCATGTTAGCGACGCAGTCAGGCCTTGAAAAAAGTAGTAGAGGATATAGTCTAGCTGCTAGGTCAGGTCAATATGTAACCGCATACATCGAAGTTCGACGGATCTCATCTCGTTTATAGCATGGGCTCTATCATGGTAGAGCCCATGTTTATAGCTATAGTTAACTAAAATGCTTTGGATATGACCCCTGATGTGGATTAAAATACAATAAAGTTAGGAATTTAATTTGAAATTTGGCCCACCAGTGTCTACAAAAAGATCATCCTATAGGACTGCACATTCCGCCCCCCAAGAATTGCATACATACCCCCCTCCCCCGAGTTTATTTACGTGTACCCATGGCCGAGTATACCCCACACTCTTCCTCCCAACATAATAAGTTGAACAAATAGAAATAAAAACGTGCCAACTTACTCAGAGTCCGCCATTTTTGTTGTAGATCAGGAGTGAATATATCTGTGCCTGTCAGGAATCAGCATATCATTATTTGTCTTCAGAAAACCGCCTCCAAACATTATGATTTTATTTATTATTCACTTTGTAAATAAATACTTATTTTTTAACTCTCAAATTTAATAAATAATATTAGCACTGAATTTGACATTAATATTGCGGCATGAGCGCAACTGCTATCGTTGCGGCAATACCGCAACCACTTTATGAGCATTGACTGATGACATAATGCGGGTCAAACTATTGGTATTGTAAACATGAAAAGGTTTGTTGTTTGATGTTTTATTTATATTCACGATAGCCTTTCTTCAATGAAAACATAATTTATGAACGATTAATTGCATTTACAGTTTGAATATAATTATGGTAAAAGATAATACTGTCTTAAAAATTTCCGAAACAGATCTTTCCTTTTTTAATACGTATAATGTTTTTCTTATTAGGTCAATGGCATAGTTGTGATAGACGATCAGACGAACGTCACACCAAAAGTACTGGCGTTTGGTGGGTTGGACAATATTACAAAAATGTTCTCTTTCTTAATGGTAATTAGTATGTTGAATATTAATAAATATTGGTAGTGTAGTGTTCTGGTATATAAGCATATAACTAAGATATTCACGTATGTGGTAATATTATAAACTTTATTCGGACTTGGAACTAAATATAAATCTTCATCCAAGATGGCGACTTTGCAACAACATCCGGGTAACTTATGACACCACTCCTTAAGGTGGATGACATGTTAAGGTAGACAGAGAGTAATATACTAAATAACACCACATCCCCCTTTCGAGATAATGACATAATGTAATAACATGCAATGACATTGTAGTGAATAAAGAACAGTTCCTTTAAATGTTACAAAAGGGTTTTTACACAAAATATATAATACTTCAAAAGTTTCAGAAGTGATCAACTACCTTAATGTAACTGAATACATAGTACAATGTCTAACATGTCATCATGTAGTTTAATGTTATATAAAATGGTTATGCTAAACAATGTTTACATCATGACTGCATAAAATATGTCATCATTTTTCACTTATGCAAAATACAGTTTATAACCTCACATTTCTTCTATAAGTCTCTGAGGTGCTTTACTAGACCTTGTAGATCTCCTTAACATGGGAGATGTAGAAACTTGAGTTTCACTATCATTCTCTGCCTGTTGAGAAGTAGATAAATTCAACTGATGAGAATTTTCACTGTCACTACTGTCACTTAATATTGGATCCTCACACTGTTTAACACTGTTTTTATCATGTGAAGATATGAGATGTTTGCGATTTCTGCGCAATAGTCCTGCTTTCTCAGTTTTTACAATGTATGATCTAGGAGCATAATGTGGCTTATCAATTACTCCTGAAGTAACACTAGTTTTTCCTGGCTCAGAAATAAACACTTGATCTCCTGGAGATAATTCTGGTAAATCACGAACTTTGTGTCTTTTATTATAGTTCTGCCTTTGTCTGGCCTTTAACTTAAAGTCATTAGATTTAAATTGCTTCATATAAGGCCAACTGGGTACAAGTTCTGATGTCAACATTGGTAATGGAGTACGAAGTTTTCGTCCAAATAATAGTTCAGCTGGGCTAAAGCCATTTTCTAACGGTGTTGCCCTATAGGATAATATTGCCTTGTATATGTCCTCACTTTTACGGAGAATGTTTTTAATAGTTTGCACGGCTCGTTCTGCCTCCCCGTTAGATTGACTATATAGAGGACTAGATGTATCTATTGTAAATCCATAATCATTTGCAAAATCTATGAATTCACCACTGGTAAACTGAGTGCCATTATCAGGCCTAACTACTGCTGGGCATCCATGGCGAGCAAATATAGATTTAAGATGTGTAATGGTCTCTTTTGCAGTCATTGTTGACAATTTGACAACTTCCACATATCTTGAGAAATAATCAATGATCAAGAGATACCATTTGCTTTCAAGATAAAAGAGATCTAATGCCAATTTTTGCCATGGGTGCTCAGGAAGTTTTGTTGCAATCATAGGCTCAGTTGGATTTTTCCTGAATTTTGTGCATTTTTCACATTTTGTGACATAACTCTCTAATTCTTTACTCAAACCTGGCCAAAATACAGAGGCTTTGGCTCTCTCACGAGTTTTAGTGATACCTTGGTGACCATGGTGGAGTTTTTCAAGAATGTCAGAACGTAGAGACTGGGGAATAAAAATTCTTGAATCTTTGACAAGAATATCATTCATGATAGATAAATGACCTCTGATACTCCATAGTACTTTCAATTCACCATTGAGCTTAGATTTCTCTGGCCAGCCTATGAGACAGTATTTCTTTGCTAATGAACAAGTGTGATCAGAATTTTGCTCTTCAATGATTTGGGCAAGTCTTTTCTCAGAAGCTGGTAGAGATATTTTGACTGAATGAACAAACATTTCTGTTTCATTTTCAAGATCAATTTCGTCTTCAGATTGGGTGTTACGTACCGGCGCACGCGATAATGCGTCTGCGATTGATAAATCTTTGCCGGGAACATGTTTTATAGTGTATTTGAAACGTGCCATACGCATACGAAATCTTTGAATACGCGGAGGCACATCAATGAGTGCTTTTGACCCCAAAAGCTGAATCAAGGGTTTGTGATCTGTTTCAATTTGAAATTCAGGCATACCATATAGGAAATCTGAAAATTTTTCACAAGCCCAACAAGAGGCTAAGGCTTCTTTTTCAACTTGAGCGTATCTTGATTCAGTTTCACTGAGGGATCTAGAAGCATACATTACAACGCGCATAGATTCATCTGACTGTTTCTGTTTCATGCAAGCTCCGATTCCATAAGATGAAGCGTCAGCTGAAATAAGCGTTTCCGCATTCGCGTCATAAAGTGCTAATGTTGGTGATTTGGTGAGCTCATTTTTTATCTTCCGAAACGCGTCACTTTGGCTTTGTGACCAAAACCATGCATTTTTCTTGCTAAGAAGATCGCGCAATGGTTTGGTAATTTCCGCAAGGTGGTCAATGAACCGTCCCGCTTGGTTAACCATCCCGAGAAATGAGCGTAACTCGGTAATATTTGTTGGTTCTGGATATTTCATTATCGCATCTACTTTTTCCGGATCGACACGAATTGAGTTTGGACCAATTTGAAATCCTACATACGAAACTTGTGTCACAGCAAATTTACATTTTTTCTTGTTCAGTGTAACACCATGTTCCTTGAGTCGCGTCATGACTTTATCAAGACGGATGTCATGTTCATTTTTATTCTTGCCATGTACAAGAATATCATCTGCGATATTTGCGACACCATCAAGACCATCTAATATTTGATGCATGCGACGCTGGAAATGTTCTGGCGCGGAGTTGATGCCAAAAGGAAGGCGGTTAAATGCATACCGTCCGAATGGCGTAATGAATGTCGTGAGCAATTTCGAATCTTCCGCTAACTCAACTTGCCAAAACACCGAATTTGCATCCAATTTTGTATAAACATGCGCGCCTGAAATTTGACCAAGAACTTCTTCAGTCTTTGGAAGAATATAGCGTTCGCGCTGTACCGCCTCATTGAGCATAGTGTAGTCTGCGCAAATTCTAACATCACCCTCGCGTTTAAGAACGGGGACCATACCTGCGCACCAATCTGTAGGTTGCTCGACCTTGAAAATTACCCCAATTTTTAACATTCGTTCCAACTCAATTTTGACCTTATCGTACAGAGGGAGTGAAACATGACGGGGAGTTGCTAAAGCAAAAGGCTCAGCATTTTGGGCTAATTTAATTGAATATTCACCCTTGAGTTTACCAAGACCTCTGAACATATGGTTATATTTATTCTCATATGATTTATCACTCATGTTACAATTTACAGAGTCCACAGAGGCAGAACGCTGCAAAATATTGGCTTTTTCAATTGCAGGTCTGGACAGCAGTGGAACTTGGAGGTCCTGTAGAACGTAGATTTCATCTTGGATTGTAGTATTGTTAATTTTCAGCGAACCATCGTAGACACCTAAGACGTTTTGTAGAGGTTGATGACAGGGACCCGATAATGTCACATCGGTATCGTGCAGGTCGTTGAGAATATTACACTCCTCGGCAATTTGGCGGGATATGCATGTCACGTCCGCACCCGTGTCTATTTTGAAGCAAACACGGCCTTCATTTAATGTTCCATAGGTTGTCCACATGTTAGACTTATTTGGTATGTCAAGAATGACTTCGCCAAGATAATACGAGTTTGTATCAGAATCATCAGAGTCACACGCAACTTCATGTACATTTTTAGTCTTACAGTACTCTGTGAAATGTCCTTTGATCTTACATCGTTTACAGGTCACTTTAATGGCTGGGCACCTATCCTTTGGGTGTGGTGCCTTCCCGCAGCGATAGCAAGATTTTAATCCATGTGATTCTGATTTAAATCCAGATGATTTGCGATGAGATTTATTAAACTTTTTGCGTACCTCATCCAAGTTTTGTGGAGTAGCGGCTGGCATATCACGTAGTAAAGTCTGTTCCTGTTTTACCGCCTCATTTTGACGAACTTTTGTGATGCATGTTTGCAGAGTCAGAGCTGCATCTAATTGTAGTTTCTCACTAAGTCGAGTATCACGAATGCCAACAACGATTCTATCTCTGATGAGTTCCTCCTTTAAAGTACCGTAGGAGCAGTGCTCTGATAGTTTATATAAATCGGTGATGAATGTGTTCACAGATTCAGATTCAAGTTGTGAGCGTCTGTTAAATTGTGCTCTTTCATAAATGACGTTTTTTCTAACCTCAAAATGCTTCTCAAATGCAGTTTTGACAGTTTTATATTCATCCTTTGAGGCCTCATTTTCAAATGTGAAAGACAGGAATATATCTTCGGCTGTTTCACCCATGGAAAATATGAGCATGTTTACCTGCCTCTCCTGAGGGTCACGGTCTAGTCCCGACGCCATTCGAAATCTCTCAAATCGCCTGATCCATTTTGGCCACTCCTTAGCTCCATCTTTGAAGTTAAGTGGGGCTGGCGGATTTAGATGGTAGGTTGTGGAAGTGGCAAGTGGTTGCTGGTGATGCACTTCCTCTGCCGCCACATCACTATGTTCACCGTCGTCAGCCATATATTATGATGAGAAGGTATTATCCCGATAATAATATGTTTGTATAATAGTTCCACAGTCAACAAGTGTCCAGAAAAATCCAATTTTTCGAGGAAAATTGTCACGTGGTTTTCCTTAGAATGCGTATTTTTCAGTCACTTTACAGATATAACTCCATTTTTTAATAATTTTCACATCTAGACACCATGTAGTGTTCTGGTATATAAGCATATAACTAAGATATTCACGTATGTGGTAATATTATAAACTTTATTCGGACTTGGAACTAAATATAAATCTTCATCCAAGATGGCGACTTTGCAACAACATCCGGGTAACTTATGACACCACTCCTTAAGGTGGATGACATGTTAAGGTAGACAGAGAGTAATATACTAAATAACACCACAGGTAGTATGTATGCATCAATTGAGGTTCTGAAAGAGAATATGTAAGCACAAGTTCCGACGGGGAAATGGAGGGAAAAATAAAATGGGAAAATGGGAAATAAAATTAGAAGCAATCTGTAATAACCAAACTCTTTGTACATTGTTTTTCCAAATTTTTATATTATCTATACAGCATCATATCTATTATCAAGAAAATAAAGCTGTATTGTGCAGTTCACTATATTTTGCTGATTTTAGAATAAGTATCCTGTGAGAATGAAAGGTTGGCACTTTTACAATGCTGCAATAGTGGCCCAGACGTTGATGAGTGCAATAATGCCATTCCTGCCCCAGAATATCCAGGACAGGGTACATAGTATTTATTAATTACAGAAACAAAAGACTGCTTTCAATAAAAACAGACGGGACCCTCACCGTCACTTTATTATGTTTATTTAGGAAAAGTTAAGTACTTTCCACGAGAAATGTACGGAATTATTACTTCATCGATGCAAATATCAAATGTTTTCAGATGTTCCTATATGGGAATAACATGGAGGATGTGTATAAACATATCCCAATGAGACTGTTACCCATGGAATATCTCCCTGATGAGTACACTGGATCTTGTCAAGGATATTTATTCAAGATTCAAGGTAGGACATAAATTAAGTATGTCTTTGATCTTTTTCTTGATAAGAACCAACAATTGTTTCCCTTTTTGACACGACAAAGGTATTCTATTTCGAATTAGGAAAATATCCTAAATATTGATGTCTTATCTTCAGCTAGCTACAAGGAAGCGTTGAACAACAAGGCAGTGCGAGATAAGATATGGAATACTACGTCGTCGGGCATGACGTATGATGAATCAAAGAAACCTGGTGATATTGGACCACAAGCTTCATTTCGAAAACTTAACATAGACTAATATTATACAAATAACAATGAAAAAAAGGTTTGACGGAGTCATCATTTTATTTCGAAATCTACGGAGTAATACTTAAAGCCTGCTATTTTAATAGACGCATTTAATCTTTTCATCTTATCAAATACACCATGCACGACATTCACCGTAAAACACAAAATCTCCCCCTTGCCAGGGTAGATCAAGTGAAGAATATATCATTTCAACGATATACTTTCACATGTATGTAAATAGATGTGTCGTATGTTATACATTTATTTATTTAAAAACCTTACGCTGCGTACGCAGCTTTAGTAAAACCTCGAGGATTAAGATAAGGACATGAAAAATGCCAAATCAATATATTCAGCTAATCATAAAAATAACACATACATGTAAATATTACCAATCGTGCTAAGCAAATATTTCGTAAATAGATAAAACATAACCTTCAAAGCCTTGCTCTTCGTCAACTCCTGCATATATACCAGTGTTCGGTTTACTTTAGAAACCACAAGATAACTTTAGGGAGATATACATAGGACATTGTAATCAAACTAAAGTTGTTATACTGTAGTCTTTCCTTTTTCTTCTCATTGGCTTTGGGTCACATGGTTATGTCCTTAAATCTTATAATATGAATATGTATTTGGAATATCTAAAAACAATTGGACCGGGGAGAATACCCCTTTTGTGTGATGTCATCATTAGTTGTGCATTGGTGCAGAAGGCAATGTTTGTAGTAAATTATCTGAAAATGAATTCTCACCTAAATTGAGAATTCTCTGTCGAACCACTAAGTGTCTTCCTAGTCTAAACGATAGAGAATATATCCACCCTTGTTGCAGGAATTGCATATTTGCTATTATACCACTCTAAGTCCAATTACAGTTGTATAACATGGGTCTATAACAATGATATACAGCGGAGAGTGGTATATCGTTATCGTATACAACTCCTCCGTATACACTCCAGCGCAAGGAGGATTGGCTCCCAGAATGCACCACCGATATTCTGTCCCATATATGGTAGCGGTGACCTTTGACCTCACAGGTTTCAAAATGGCTTCCGTGCTAAAGAACGTGTCACGTGTCAACAAGGTCAAAGGTCACGCTACCATATATGGGACAGAATATCGGTGGTGCACTCTGGGAGCCAATCCTCCTTGCTCCAGCGTATACCTCTGTAGAAGTGCATTCTGGGAACTAATGAATAAAAAAATCATGAAAATTTCCATGATTTCCTAGAATCAAGTGACGTCATAAATGGTTCCGGCATGATTTGCTAGGATCAAGCAACGTCATAAATGGTTCGAGATCAACATCAGCATTATTGAGTTGGCTATGGAATATTTTTTATGGTTTTTAATTGTTATGATTGTGTTCGAATCGATTGTAATTGAACTTAGAGTGGCATAATAAGATTATATCATGGTTCATTCTGTATATCATGCATTTTATACTCTCGTGAGAATATAATATATTCACTCGTTCGCTACGCTCACTTGTGAATATATCATATACTCACTCGAGTATAAACACGATATACAGAAAGAACCATTATATAACCTCATATTATATCGAGAGAGGGATCACGAACATCAATGAAGAGTTTAGCTGCAGCGAAATTGACAAGTGTATATTTAAGAGAAATGATCCTATCAAACATTGGCTTATTGAATGCATTAACTTTGTGGATTGCATTAACTTTGTGGATTGCATTAACTTTGTGGATTGCATTTTACAGCAGATGACCACTTATAATGATTCAATTATGCTCACTATAAAATTTTGGTATATTTTAGAGAGGAAATAAACGTGCTGCGAACAACTGACACATTTTAGACCCATTGTAAATTGTAAACCTCGACTTACATTGCTGCTTGGAACTTGCTCACTGCATCATCATATATAACACATAGATATTTTAATTGTTTTCAAAAGTTGACCTTAGAATAGACTAGATGCGAATAAAAATAATCTTTCAGTCAACGTGATATCATATTTGAAGTCTACATGTGAAATAATGCAGTGAAACCATCAATACTTGAACAATTCCCCTAAAATGGATTTGTTACACATTTATCGTAATATATTAATATGCTTGTCCATCGCTTGTTTGTGAGTTTCTCTTTTTGTTTGTCCTAATTGGCATGCGGAGCATATAAGAGATCGCTTGGATTCAATGTATACAATTCAAAATTCCATCATACAATATTTCATAAAAATATGAAAAAGACACCCAAGGGGTGTATTATAATAATATTCCATGGTTCATAATTTATGATTATATTACATAAAAGCATCTTTAGTGGTAACTGGAAGAATGAAAAAATAAAGCTATGTAAAAACGAGAAACGACCTTGGAAGTTCAACCTTAAAACTCCAAAGAACACTCAAAACCGCTTAAGTGTAAAATTAATTTTGTTAAAAAGTGAAAAAAATCCTAAAATGTTTTTTTCAAATAGATATATAGTATATATCTTCAAACATTTGTACATTCGTTACCCAAGGCATTAAAGTAAACTCCAAGGAAAAATAGGCGAATTTTCAAATTGAAATTAGGGTCCGTCTCAAACATGTCGATTTTCACACCTTGACCCCCTGATTAATGTGTCAAGCTATTGAAATTAGAATGCATCATTTTCAAAAAAACAAAAACGTACCTCATGGTACTTAACTGTCCTTTAAAATCGCAAATGGATTTGGACTGCAAACTTTTTCTTTTTGATGTGCATCACTTTGTCAACATGAACCAATAAAATCTATCGTTTTTCTAAATTTTTAACTTCCCCTTTGTTTTTCATTTGAATAAAATTGAAAAAGTCGACTCTTTTGAAACATGGATTGATGCGATCATGAAAAATGATGCTTAAGACGATAAGAAAATGATAACAGTTTTATTTGGGAAGAATTGATCATTAGGCTAGTTCACTATTCATCCGCATGTCGATTTTCACAAGACAATTAGAAACAAATGACAATGAGTTAGAAAGTTCACTTTAGGGACCACTAACTTCACGAATCGACATTTTTGATATGTAGAATATAACAAGCTGAACTGAGAAACAACCAGTGTGTATCTGTATCCAAATATGACCACGTTTATGTAACATTTTCCGTCAAAACCCTGTCGTGTTTCACATTTTATTCTAAAATATCGTCAAAGAGAATAAACTAAGTATACGTACATGTACGTATTACGTCCGCAAAGTTTATATGCACTGAACACATCTTCTCTACATTCTTTTCACACCAACTTTACCAAAACATCGCACTGATTCATGAAACCAAGATTTACATTTTTAGATTGAATGACAATGGGATGACAGATGCCATGTCGTCAAAATAATGTTTTGACACCCTTGGCATATGTTTTCTTTTTTTATCTCACATACCAGGTATGGTTCTTTGACTTGTTTTTACAATTTGAGTAATTTTTCCTTTGGGTTTAGCTTTTAATGCATGCTTAAACCAGTTGCAGGTTGACGTAGTGACGTTTTTCCTGCATGTATCACAACAGGACAACCATTTACGTCATATTGGAGTACAAACATCATCTATCGAGATATGATCTGAAATGTCCCTTTAACATATTCCAAATCAAGAAGCCGGTCCTTATTCTACTCGAGTCTACGTTATCAATTGAAACATGATATTGATGTCGAGTCCAGTTCATTAAGGATGACGTATAGTCCAATCATAAAAATCATCTGCACTGGTGTAGAGACGTTTCTCTTGACACCATTATCTGCGTAGCGCTTCGCCAATGACCCCGCCCCCCTCCCTCTCCAAGTTCTTATCACAAGAACCCTTTTCCATGGCAACTGGAAGTGTTTTTATTACTATGCTTTGGTTTATTCTGAGATTTTTGTTTTAGTCGCTAAAATTTCCGCTTTAGAGAAACAAATTTCTTTCGTGTCAGACTCGATCCTTTTTCGGATTTCTGATTTCGCATCTCATAACTTTCGCTATCAAACTTGTTTCTTCTGATGTTTTGTTTTTCTTTGAAACTCTTGAAGTCTATATCATATTTTTAGTGATCTACCCCCGTTTTTTTTTTTCGAAGAGGGGAAAAATCATCTTGCTTTTGTTGCCTCTATCGTCGCATGCGTATCTCGTGCTTTATGTTTCTATAATGCTAGTTCAATTGGCGATATTTTTCAATGAGGAACGTAATTTTATGCACCGCATGTCCTGATTTTTTGCATTGCTTACTTTTTGTTTTTCTTTGTAAGTTTTGCAAAGAATTACGTTTCACGAAGGGATACTGAATATTGTACATCAGATCGTAATAATGTATCGAGTAGTAGATCCGAGATCGTAATTAAAAATAATAAGCAAATAAACATCGTTGAAAAGCTATAAAAGCCAGATATCAACGCTACTTACAATCGAAACGATCAAAAAGTATACTGACGTACTCCAGATAAAGGCATTCTATTTTAGAATACATAAAATGTTGAGCAAAAATACGTTTTGTTTCAGCTATGTTCAATTACATGAAAAATGCCTATTTTTAACACTTATTTGTTTTCACTGAGAAGTCTGAAGATTTTAATACTCGCAAAAATGAGTTATGGGAAAACTCCCAATCATTACAAAGATATTCTACTAGGAAAGGTCAATGATAGAACAAATTACGACTTAAGATCGGAAAGTGAAAACCATTTATTTAAGATTAAAAGTAACTTCCATCGAAACTCTTTTATTCCCTTTCATAAGGACGTGGAACGATCCAATGTCAATAAAAGACAAAACCACGTTTAATCTTTTCAAGTTTGAACGAAAAGGACATTTTTTCGATAAACATAAAATTCTTCAGAAACTGTATCATTGCAGCAATCGCAAAGTTAATATAATTCACATGCGATTTAGATTAGGCCTCATGCAACTTAATTCGCATTTTTTTCCATGAGAGTAATCGTCTCTTCACATTGCCCCTCCTTTGGAAATGGAAACCAAACAATAATACATTTCATCCTTAACTGTCCATATCTCGCCGCTCAACGAAACGATTTACAAACTAATGAAATATGCTTAGTAGACGGACCCTTCATTATATTGACAACAAATCATGAAAAAGTAATTATTATTCTCAATGGGAGTACTTTTCTTTCTGATGAGAAAAACAAATTATTATTCGAAGAGCTCTATGGATATTTCATTAATTCATGAAGATTTTAAGTATGATCTCATGTCTCCCCGTGCTGCAACCCCCTGCCTTTACCAGTGATGAAATTAACTAAGATGGTATGAAAGCATTTTGTATTAGCTATGATAGCTTACCCCCCTATCACACCATACTAGGTTCTTACCCGTCCTTGCCAGTCCTACGAAACCGTCGTAAAACGGGCTCATGCGATCTGACTGTGGTCGGAAATTATGTCTTAAATAATTAGCTACTTCGTTCATAAACACTCTTCAATACGTTCATCTCATTCGCAGTTCGTTCAGGTCGCACCATGTCGGTGTGCAACGTCGTATAACGCGTCCCTTAGTGTAGAAGGTCATCATGATCTGATTACAGAACAGTATGGTCGCCATCGAATTTTGAATCGATTCAAAATTCTAAATCACATTCCCCGTACGGGAAAGTCCATGAAGTTCGTAAACAGACCGTAGAACGTTGTAGGTACGTTCATTCAGTTCGCACATATTTTAAAACCGATTCGGCAACGTTTTGAAGAACACAGTGACAACTGGTTCTTGTGTGATAGCTATTTTTGTTAATTCGTTCATAAGCAGTTTTTAATACGTTCATCTAGTCTTTATTCCGTCTCCAGTACGTTGGTATCAAGTTTAGATCGGGTTAAAGTGTGCGTTCGTCTCGTAGTTGACAATTAGTTATACCTCGTTCTCAATACGTCCTAATATGTTACTGAATTATCCACCAAATTTCCATACGGTTGAACTCGTTCTAAAACATTAAACATCGTGTCCCTAATCCGTGCAGAACGCATTTATAATCCCTTTCCCTTTGGAATTTGTGCTTAGATAATTTGAGCATCTGTTTTTTTAATCAAACATTAAAAACGCAGTTCATTATCAATACTCGCGGTAGACTGTAAATCTCGTAAATCTAGTAAATCTCGTAAATCTAGTAAATCTAATAAATCTAGTAAAATCTTGTAAAATCTTGTAAACTTTTTAGGGACCATTCATTTGATATCAATGTCAGTCTCAATGAAGAGTATTGGTGATTATGATTCCTTTTACAACATTAGAAAAATACCTTCTCTGCATTAAAATTCAGAGTCATTCCTTTCATCAAATAATCAATATACACATTTTTTAACAAAATTGTGAAAAATTGTGAAATATTATAATAAAAAAGAATGTTTAAGGGGCTGATATGATATGGCTTTAAACTATTAATTACAAGGAATACAAGGAACATATCATCATCAAAACGTAAATGGAAAGCATTGTAGAAATGCCATACTATACTTTATGTATAGGTAAAGCAAATAGATCAATCAGTAAGTTGTCTCACTCTTCCCCTTACTACAGCATTTGATTGTTTTTATTATTTTTGGGGGTTGGCAAAAATCAATTTTGAAATTGCCATTTATCCATTCCTCTCATATTGGAACTTCTACAAATATTGTCAATTGAACAGCATCGCCAAAAAATAAGCAATAACTAAATTATCTGATAGGCTAAGCATTATAACATTTTGTGAGGGGAAAACAAGCCTGTGTCATTTAGATGGTACCCATTGTCCCCTCAGTCTTTAAATGTGTGGCTTAATTTGTTAATAGAGCATGCTTCTTGGGTGGGTTGTGTATGATGATAAATGGGTGTACCATTTGATAACCATTCATTTTGTTATCCAGTACTAACATATAGTTGTTTTGAAACTAAATATTATGAAATAAAAAGGTAGAATTTTTTCTACATGTTCATTTCATTCATACAAAGGCATTTTCAGTGCTTTTTCGACATTTGCACTTTATATCTTAGACATTGAATAATCAAGTTTTTACACGATTTTACAAGATTTTACTAGATTAACTAGATACTAGTTTTACTAGATTTACTAGATTTACTAGATTTACAGTCTACCAATACTCGCACCATCGTCTTATTTGAATGATTAACTTCAATTATTGTTCATCATTATAGTCATAACAACAGTACAGTATATGATTTAGTATGTATTGGTATGTATTTGAATTGAGTTTGAATCAAAGTCATCATAACTAAAATTAGAAATATTCTATATATTAGTTTTATGGTCCTTTATGTAATGTTGACTGATTGACAACAATTTAATGCGAAAATTATTTAGAAATATTCTATATATTAACCAAACTTTCCTTCGTAAAATTACACTATTGAGAGACCTAAACATTGTGTGTTATGTCATTTTGATCCAGTGAGGTTCGGAAAGATGTTTCATTTTATTCCGAACATATGATACCAAGAACAAAAGAAGTGTCAGGTGTTTTAAAAGCACATATATTGATTTCAAATTGTATTGTTACCATTCAAAAGATGACCATTAAATTGACGATGTGTAAAATTTTCAAATTTTTTTGATGACTCTTTTAAGAGAAACGTTTGTTCAAAAAGGTCAGCATATCGATACCGATCCTTTGTGATGTGTTTCTCATCTTTTTACAAATTCGTCACATCCTTCTGGGACAGCGGTACTGTTAATGCACTGTGTCGTATCACGCGTGCTTATTAAAACCTCGCATCGTAACCTTTGATTTTCCTCAGAGAAAACGTAATCTGCTACACACGAACTATATCTGAACTCTGTTATGTCCATACATAGCTTTTCACAATGTCTTTGCGCGCTCCTATATAGTTCACCATTCATTTCACTCAATTCTGGCAAATCTGGGATATCATTGTCTTTGCAGACATCAGAGCTGAAATTATTATTATCTTGATATATTGATTGAATGGATGGATGATATGCTGATCGATAGATATATACGATGATTTGGAAATTGTTCAATCTAAAACGTTAGATATCGAATCGAATACAAATCAAGTAAAGGAAAAACATAAAACCACATTGGTGGCGCTAAATGAACGCCACGTACGCACAGGCGTACTCTCACATTTTAAAGAAATAATGATTTCCAAAGTCAATTATAGTGAAATAATAGATATTTCATAAATATAAAAATCTGTGAACATTTTATCATGACTTCTTTCTTATTCAACATTCTATTCTGTAAATATATATACAAAATACACGTTTTGGCATAGATCCCTAATGTATTATGAAATGGATCTGAAGATAATGTACCTCATATGGAAGTAAAGTTGATACAGTGATCGCACTTATGTTGATAATTGAAAGCACCATCGAACTCACATGAACACAAAATGATCACACAGAGCTTAAGTCAATGAACAGCGTTCCTTGTATAGTAGATGCTACGCCTTCATAACAAATTAAATTAACTTCCGTTGGAAAATTGTTTTTATTTTCATTATTTTCACCAATATTGATGTCGATTTGTATTCAAATATTTTACTTGTATTTCAATAGGAACAAGAACGTCATTACAACGCAACAAAGACGTTACTAAATTCACCAGATAACGTACTTGTTGCCAAAGTGAGAGAATTCTCAGTAGATTATTCGAGTTTAATACATTTGCTCGTGACAGACTAGCTTCTCAGTAACCTGATGGAACTATAAATATACGGGTAAATTATTGAGATACAAATTAACCTCTCCGTTGATGAAAGTAATTTGTTTTCCGACGAAAGTCCGTCCATTTTGATATAAAGACGCAACGTCTTTATAATAAGGTAGGGATTTTTGTAAAACGCGTGAAACTTGATGGACGTACACTGTTAGAATGGGCTACCTAGGCCTCTGAACCCGGACATTAAGTTAAGTTTTATACATACTCGTCGTCATATAATGGTAGTGACTCAGTATTCTTCCAGCTATTGCCAATCAGCGTCCCTTTGTTGTCTCTGCTTTTCACTCTTCCACCTGTTTTCGTAATGTAATCATCGTCACGAATACCATTGTAGTTTCCGCACATACCTGCAAGGTATTTTGATAAGGTCTAATCCAGTAGAAATGGCGTTTTTTAAACATAACAGAGTTGCTCTTCAAGCCGTAGAAATTCTTAATTTATAATACCATTAAGACTTGCTATTGAAGGCAAAGTCGATCGAAGTGGCCATTGATAAAGTCAATTTTAATATTTTTATTTAGAAGGTAAAGAGTCACGTCCGGTGATCGTACAAAATGGATGGAGGGGGAGTAGGCTATTTGTATTGTATTGTATTGTATTGTATTCTATTCTATTTCGTTGACAAATATTTATTCACCAATGATTCAATTTTAAAATTCACTTTTAGTACTACAGATCTAAATTGTTTAAGGTCTGGAGTCTTAGGTTGTTTTTAGCTAAATTGAAGGGTATTTTCTTTTGGTAGTGTTAATTTTATTTATTTATTTATTAATCTTATAAAAGGTACAGCATGACAAATACCGAGACACCAAAGGGCATATATTGGTATTAATCAAGAGCTTATTATAATATACAATAAAAAGGTAACTAGCCCTAATGGCCGACACTAGGTACATGTAATTTCTGCAAAAAATCAACAAATTTGGAAGATTTATTTTTTCAAGAGAAAATTTACAACTGAATTGCCAAATGAATAGGCGCAGTGCATGGCGAAATATGTTAGGTCTTCTAGTATTTTTTTTAAACTTATAAGCTTCTAAGATATGAGATATATTAAAAAAGGCGCATCATCTCCAACGTGCAAAAGTCAACGTTTTTGCCATAAATCAGGCAACAATGGTCTACGCAACATGTAATAAATAGGTATAAGGGACGTTATTACACAACTCTAATGACATTGCTTACTTTTTAAAGTTAGTTTTCATGCGTAATACAACAAAATAATCGAAATAAATTAATATTGGATGGAGGGGGGAGTGGATGGAGGGAGTGGGTTATATATCTTTACGATGGATATTATATCTCTGGAGAATGAAAAATGGGAATATTTGGAGTAATAAGTATAAATCGAAGTAGCATGTCTTATCATGTCTTATATACACGCTACAGCCCCCCCCCCCCTTCATCCACTTTGAAACATATCTCATATACCATATTAAAACTATGAAACATTTTTAATTCCTATATTGCCATTTAGTGTGGTACAGAAGAACAAAATTTGAATATGATGCATTCTCTACAAAACTGGATGACATAAGTTTTCCATTCTTTACACTTTCACAAATTCAAAATTAAATGGTTATTATTGCGCATAATTTATCGAATCCATCTTACTTGTGTATTTATGTAAACTAATTACATCTTGGTATAAAGTGTCATACACCTAAATTGGTGTGGCCTATGAACTGAACACTCGTCAAATCATTGATCTAATTCAATGACATGCATTGAACGATTATGAAGATGGCAATTTTTGACAAACTTAACAAGCTTAGATGTTGCATGATTGGAAATAATTAATCGTTTCACAAGGGGAGTGCATGAAGGGGGGAGGTATATGATGTGTATTTGAAAAAACTAGACTCAGTACCCCAGTAAGAAACTGGATATCATATCTCTGGAGAATGAAAATGGGAACATTTGGAGTTATAAGAATTAAAATAGCATGTCTTATCATGTCTTATGTACACGTTACTCCCCCCCCCCTCCATCCATCCCCCCCCCTCCATCCAATATTAATTTATTTCGATTATTTTTTGTATAACGCATGGAAACTAACTAAAAGTGAGCAATTTCATTAGTGTTGTGATAATAACGTCCCTTATACATATTTATTACAGGTCGTGTAGACCATTGTTGCCTGGTTTATAGCAAAAACGTTGACTTTTGCACGTTGGTGATGATGCGACTTTTTAATAGATCTCATATCTTAGAAGCGTATCAGTTCAAAAAAATACTAGAAGACCTAACATATTTTGCCATGCACTGCGCCTATTCATTTGGCAAGTCAGTCGTAAATTTCCCTTTGTTGAGTTTTCTTGCTGAAATCGCCTCCCCCCTCCGTCCATTTTCTACGATCACCGGGCGTGTAGAGTATTGATGGATGGATTGAAAGGAGATTTGTAAAATTACATTGATCAAATAACATACCTTTCACTCTTTCTTTCCAATATTCGTCTAAGTATATCCTCGCTTCATGATTATCTTTAAACTGCACTTTTATCGCCATTGGTAGAATTTCAACAGTGACGACGCCATTCCATGAATCAATCGATATGTCAGCTGTGACTGCTGTATTCGTCCCTTGTACAGTTCCAAGTGCTACAGTGTGGGGCAAACTTGTAATATTCGTCATTTCTTGATTTATAACATCAATGATCTACAAGTAAATAGTTATGGAACGACTTTTATCATGAATTCTTAATGACCTGTAAAGTTGGTTCTACGACATAATAATCAGTAAATGGACAAACGCTAACTTCATTGACGACAATCAAAATGTGCATTTGACAGCCACAGTGGATTTGTACAGCCAACGATTCGAAACATGATGTGAATTTCTACACCTTTCAGTCGAAAATAACGTAATAAAACATTTAAGAAGAAATGACACACAATTTCCGCCAAATGTATAAGAAAAAATATCTGTTATTATTATACATAAAACCTACCCGAACGTCAAACTCTGCAGCAACCTCGTAATCATTCCCATATTCAAAATACATGTAAGGAAACATATCCCTGGTTATTGCTCCAATGTATATGTCGAACCTGTTCAAAACTCTGATGACTGCATATTTTGCCCATGATACTGAGTTCCAAATACCGGTTCCTCCTCCCCCCATCCAATTACGTACTGATATCTTAAAAAGTGGGTCAAAATCTTCAGAGATATCTTCCATTGAGGCAACGTATAGACAATGACCTTGGAAATCGTAAGTTGCCCCATCGAATGTGTTGTAATGAGGATCGCCGACTATTGTACACCATCCCGGTTCTTCACCTTTAAACGAAGGTTGAGAGGTGTAACATGCTAAACAACTACATTGATTGAAAACCTTTCAGGGCTACGATATGTGTATTTAATTCTATAAAACAAAATGTTTATGTTAAAATTCAGGGAGCTAGCAAAAAAATAATATCACCTACTGCGTTTTCAATTAAAACTATGAAACATTTTTAATTCCTATATTGCCATTTAGTGCGGTACAGAAGAACAAAATTTTAATATGAAATATTCTCTACAAAACTGGATGACATAATTTTTCCATTCTTTACACTTGGGAACAAAACTGGATGACATAATTTTTCCATTCTTTACACTTGGGAGCTAAGTCACAAATTCAAAATTAAATGGTTATTATTGTGCACAATTTATCGAATCCATCTTACTTGTGTATTTATGTAGACTGATATTTTAGTATAAAGTGTGATACACCTAAATTGATATGGCCAGCTGAACACTCGTCAAATCATTGCTCTTATTCAATGCAATGCATTAAACGATTGTGAAGATGGCAATTGTTGACAAACTTAAACATGCTAAGATGGTACATGATTAGAAATAATTAATCTTTTCATAAGACTAATCAAGCTGTGTTACTGCCCAAGATTCCCCCCTACCATTAGTATAGTCTGGTAGCGTCTTTCGTGTACTACATTGTGCGTCTTCGAACAGTGGGTGACATTTGCATGCACAGGTTTCACCATCACAGTTGCATACTCCGCCATCACCGCAACCGCAAGAGTCCGCTGAGATTAAACAAAACAAGTCTGAGCATCATAGCTGTGTACAACATTGCATCATATTTTTGAGATTCTGTCTAGGTGGTAAAATATATATCTTTATAATAATTCTTGTTTCTAGATTCAAGCAAATCATACACATAGAAACCTTTTTGATTTATCGGGATTTGAGAGGGACTTTAAGATAAATATCTTGTACATGAGCATGTAGAAGTATCGTCCTCTTTTGGATTAGTTCTCCCCTTTGAAGTATTTACTTACCTAATTGGGCATAAAGGTGAAACAATAGTTGAGATAGCTATAGGGTTCTTGGATGAAGCAATTTAGAGAGGACAAATTGAGAGGGGGGCAGTAACCCCTGACCAGAAGGTCAGGAACAAGTTCACCTAAAGGTTTCCTATCACTCTTCAAGAATAAACAATATATCCAAATTTTCATCTTTTCGTCTAGTATATCATCATTAAAGTAGAAAAAGGCAACAAAAGTACGTTAAAACGCTAGGGTATGATTTATAAAATCAATAAAACCTTTGGTTAATACTAACAACAAGAATGTGATTCAAATTCACGTAAATTTGTATAAGTTAAGGAACTAAATAACATGTGTACTAACGTAGTGAGCACCCAACTCCATTAAAACCAGTTTTACATCTACAATACTGTGTACCATCTGGTAGCTCATCATATACACCATTCGAACACGTTTGTTCCAGCGCGTCTTGAATAGAAATAATTACAAATGCAAATACAAGTTTGGTACACAAAGCATAACTCACTTTGAATTGAAATATCAAAATTGTATTAAACGTTGATTAAACAATATTCTTACTACATTGAAACGCTGCTTTTGGTACTCCACAGTTGGCCGCTACCTGGCCAAGAACGGTACATCTATCATCTATCATGTGATAATAGTCAACTATACATGACTCTATAATCATGGCTCTCTGATCTGCATCTGCGCTACAAACTGGATCAAAACATGGCGGATCTTGACCTTGGTCACATGCTGCATTACACTGTTCCCTGGCTTTAGCCACTAATGTAGCATCTGGCATTGGAGGAGTATCACTATTTGTTTCTGCTTTGCATCTACATTATAACGCATTTGCGACTGTAGCATATATGGTTAAATTTTTTTAAATTCTTACATCTACACATACACAGCATTCACAGATTTTTCATTGAAATGAAATAACAATAAATTGCAGACAAATCCTTTAGATGTTATGTGATATACGACAAATCATCCGTTACATTTATATAATACAATACAGATAAACGTTACCTGTGATTAGCGACCTGACAACTGTTCCCTATTAATGTACCATAGTTTGGTTGATCAGACACATCTTTCTGCCTGAAACCACACGTCATTAGATCATCAGTTCTATCTCCGTTAAGATTCTGACACAGTCCTTCTAGTTCTCCACCCCATGCCTCACTGTCTAAATAGACCAGGACTTCATGGTTGCCATCAAAAAGCAGACGTAGTCTCAATGTTGGAACGCTGATTTGTATGAACTCGTCATGCGATTTTATTGGAGTATCACATCCACCATCAACACATTTTTCAATCCGTACCAAGTGATATGTGTAGTAGTCTGTGAATTGAATTGGCCTATCCAGGTTTAACCTTTTCCCATTCCACTACAAAATATTATGCCATTTAATGCTATAGGGCAAAACAAATACCTAATTATATAAATAAACGGATAGCAAATAAATTAGGTTAAACAAATATATATTATGGACATATATAAATATTGCTTTTATAGATTGTATAGTTTCAAAAATTAGAAAAAATGAGACATACCGATACAATTTTTCCCTGACTGATTCTGAAGACGTCTTTAGTCAAATGTAGCTCAACATAATCGGTGGTAGAAACCGTCGCACCCTTGTGTGATTTTTTGTTTTTGGCCTGAATGCTAAATTTCAGCTCACTTTTCAGCATTTTTGTAGTGGGTTTTACAAGATAGTATTTACAGTCACCCTGCATGTCGTAATTTTTCTTGTCGAATGTAATGTAATGAACATCTCCCCATCCTCGACACATCACCATGTCTGCAATTAAAAGAAATATAGTGGATCTGTTTCATAATTATTTATGTAGGTTAACCAAAATGTCAGATAAAAAGTTAGACATTCTTGCTTCTAAAGCACAAAACCTCTAAGCCCAATCATGAAAACATAAGGTACATAAACAGTGAATGATAATATGTAAGTGTGTGCTTACCTTCGTCATCACCCTTCTTCATTGAACAGTCATTTCCAGTATATCCTGGTGCGCAGATGCAACCACATACCGTTTTCTTGCCATTGTAATATCTTTTGTGCCAGCCTCCATTGTAACATATACTACCAATACAACTTCCTGAATAAAACACAGAATCAGGTTATCGACATACATTAAAACAAACATAGAAACAACCTCGAAAATCCAGATGCATCCATGAACCGGTTTGGCTCGAAACCTTTAAACAAGCATCGACACAGATGATTTTATGACGGAAAATCTCAAAAAACATTTACAAAGAATGCCCCAAAAAATGCCCAATTATTACCTTTCATACATAGAAACATATCTGAAAATTCCAGATGAATCACTTATACGGTTTGGATGGAAACCTGTAGACAAGCCTCTAGAGACAAGATTTAAGGACGGGAAATCAAAAATGGCCGCCTTAAAATTTACCCAGAATGCCAAAAAACTAAGCATTCTAAAGTTTCATACCTAGAAACATCCCTGAAAATTTCAGATGAATCCATAAAACAATGGAAACCTTGAGACAATATTATTAATTTCTGGCGTTTTGATTTATATCATAACTTGTTATGTTTGATAAAGATAAAGAAAGGTGTATTGAATATGCTTATATACATTGTTTAAAACATGGAAACGACGTGTTATTTTCGAAAACTAACTGGTGAGAAAATTCGCCAATGGAGGTGGTACGAAAAAGACATAATCTGTTAACTCTTAAGCTCCGGGACTTTCCCCTATCTTATTTCAGATGAAACCCTGTAACGATTTGGCTTGAAACCACATGTAAACAATGTTTATTGGGACGCCCGCCCGTCCGGTAAACTTATCACAATTTAGCACAGATGGGTGAGATAAAAATATATTTCTGTAAGTCTGTTCTTCTAAATATCTCTGCTGGCCTACATATCCTAGGAAAATGTCATGTGATTATATCGAAGAATTAAGAATATGTAAGCGCAAGGGCAAACGGGAAAACACAGAAATGGAAAATAGAGAGATAGCATCAGTTGATGATTTCCCCTTGTAATTTAACATTCTTAGATACATGGTGTTTGCCATTGATATATCTCATCCTAATGAGCATATGCCTTAAACACATCTTCAGAATATGGTTTATGATATCACATCCATAAGCAAACTTACCATCAATATGACAATGCTTCATTATTTTTCCACACGCCTTTGCAACATCAGCCCTTGCCTCACATTTCGTATCTAATGTCGGTGCACTGTATATATCCATGACACAACTTCTTGTTTTGAATGGTTTGTGTTCGATTCTTTTACCAAAGCATACGTCGTTCAGATTGCACGCCATCCGCGCTGTCATAAAAGCGCCGGCGTCGAATTCCTGATTTGGATTATTCCAAGGTATATCCCAATTGTCTGTTCCCGGACAACCACAGTTATCGCTACCAGAGATAAAAAAAATATAAATTTAAGCTCAATTCAAACTAGATTAGTGAAATTGAACAACCGAGTTTGAAAGCAAAATATTGAGCATTATTGTGATATAAGCGAAAATTAGAAAATTAGATTTTGACCTAAGTATGATTTGCACTTCAAAAAAAGTAATACTAGTATCCTACAAATGTCCGATCATACGTTCGAATAATAGTTGGGTTTCAAATATTAATTGAGTGACATATATGAGAAAAGTGTTAATGCTACCAGGGGGAATCGGACCTGCAGGCCTTACAATTTATGTTTTTTTGTGTTTCGGAAAAGTCGATATGTGATGTATATGCTTAGTTCTTCGGAGAAATCTACAAATATTTCGTCGCGGTTTTATCTTTACTTCGTTTTTTCAATCAGCGCCATCACTTTTCAAACGACGTTACCTTGAAATATCAATATATCATGCTATTCTCATACTTATAAAACTTAATTTGGCTGTCATTCACCATTTATTAAGCAGTTAAAAATTAATTTGCTCCATGATATTTTTGGACCTAATTTTCGGACACCGATATCTCGAAATCGGTTTGAGATATCAAAAAACTATTTCTAACACGTGTTTCTACTTTTTTATGAGGAATATGGAAAAAACAGAGCGAAAATATTGAAGGACGAAAAGCGACAAGAAATTAAACAACGTACCGAATTTAACTAAGTTCTTGACCTTTGACCTAGATAAAAAGTTGACCCCATTTCCCACCAACTAAATACAATATACTTAATTGACCATATAATTGTCTTCATTAAGAACGTTATGGTTGTTGGGAAATCTTGCGAGAGTATAATAGTTTGAATCAAAATATTTATGTTTTTGACCCGTTGTGATGAAAGACATTTTTCGACCCGAAAGCCGGAAGTTTTTTTCAGCAAATGTTATTTTAAAAAATCAAGACATTTACACCTCTTTAAATATTGCTTCAAATGTTGCTGCGCTATAATGTGCTACGGATCCTTTCATATTCGGAAGTCATACCATGATGATACATGCAGGTTGATTACGTATTTAATAACGAGACGTATTGAGGTAAGAATAATTCATAAATGGTTGTAAACGTTTCAGAGAGACACATACAATCTGCAATAATGACTTTCCTGAGATCAGAGCTTTTATTACAGATGGAGATAAACATATTTTATTAGACATCACCTCTCACGAATTTCTTCATTTTAGCTTGTTTTTGTGAATTGTGACATCGTAATCAATAACTTTCACAATTTCTACAACATTAAAGATAAGTCACGTGGTGTTTTATATCTAATTAAAGGAATAATATCGAGGATATTAACACAATTGGAATTACATGTTGAACAACTAATAAACATACTTTTTGTGTCTCGGTTGAATTGCTATGAAGCAAAATGTTCTAATGTGTCTCATCAAATCGACGATATTGTGACAAGGAATTTACCAAGGGGAGTTTATAATTTTTGTGCAAAGGACGATTCTCGGTTTGGAGAACGAAGTTCATCAATCTAAATGAGCATTATTCCTGCTTCGGACAAATTTGATTTTTTTTACATAATATAGATTTGAATGTCTTCTTTTGAATAGTCATAATTTAATTTGGGTAATATTTCTAGATTTTTCGCAAAAAAATATTAGCGCAGTACACTGATGAATTATTTTCCCCAAATCAAGACTTGTATCTTATTAAATCGGTCTAATTGAGCGTTATCCCTGCTTCAGACCAATTTGTTATTTTTACATCTTGTAGATTTAAGTGTCCTCTTTTGAATATTCATATTTTAATTTGGGTAATATTTCAATATTTTTCATGGAAAAAATTATTAGCCCAGGAGACTGTTTTCCAAACCGAGAATCGTTCTTTCCTTCTTGGATCAAAAAATGTCATTTTCATTAGGTAAACTTACGATAGATGGCGAAGTGTCTAAAGGATGGTGGGGACTCGCGTGACACAAAAAACATCAATTCATTCAGCAGATGGCGTAGTTACGACGAAACCCGATTAGCTCAGCTTGAATTTTGCGCTTGCAGTCGATCAAAACTGAAGCTTCTTTCATCGCTATCGAGGTGAGTGATTTTTTCAAGCTCTGGTATTTTGACAAAAGTAAGTTAATGGCATAGCCAATCTTCAGGGCAGGTTTAAGGCACCAACGATTTATATTGGCGTTTTTCTAAGGATTTAATCCCGAGTTATCGGCATTCAACCTTTAAAATGAATAATTTCCGCATATTTTTGCACATAATACATGGTTTATCCGTGTGAACCTAAATACGTCTTAGTATGATTGCCCACCCTGTACATATTTTCGAACAGCATTTTAAATAATTATATGTTTTAACCACATTTGATATGTTTACTTTAAACTTGAACGAGATAGAAACAACAGGGAGGGGACATGGGAAATACAAGATGTTTGGGTGAGGAGTTTATGACAATAATAATTCTAAAGCAATAACTTACAACCATAATTCTTCAGAGAGTCCTCCCTCAATATCACAAAGGGAACCATGGATCATTCCAAAGACTCTTCCAGGGTTGACATAATTCCTTATAAATTCTGGGAAATCATCATCAGGATCACCATTAAAGTTTCCACACATTCCTGATATTTCTTTGCCTTTGTAGCTTTGAGGTATCTTGAAGTGTACTCGACCTGTACCCCTTCCGTTAAACGACAGTTCAAACCCAACTGGCCATACGGTTATGTAAACCGTTTCGTCATATTCGTCAATAAATATCGTCCAAGGTCCATCAACAGGAACAAATTCAGTCTCTTCGTAATAAGGAAGTGATATAGATTCTAGTGTCATCTGAAACAGTATTTATAATCTTAATCCAGGACTAGTACAAAGAAGTATTGGCTCTAAATCAATATTAATCTCATGCAGAAAGGTACATAATTAAATTACTAAGTCTGAAATTTGAACTCACTTGTATGACTGGTAAATCATCGTTAATATAAACATAAGGGATGAAACAAGTTTAAGTTTGCTATATACACGTATCTCTATATTATACCGATGTCATGAGAAATAACTTAAATATACAGCTTTTAACATTTTGCATTTTTTTAAATAGATACCATGGGCATTATCTATTTTCTTACTAAATCACTAATAGTCATTTGCATTGTAGTACTTCTTAAAATATGAGTTGAAAGCCAATGAATTAAAGAATATGTTTTTGGCATCATCTTGAAGAAAAATCAATTTTGAATATTATCAAAACATCAAAAATGATTAGTCTCATTAAAAAGTAAACAAAAAGACCAATAAGGAAAAGAGGTATCAAAACGTTCTCTTCGAGTGTTGCATTGTGGGTAATTATTCAAGAACACATTCAAATAAAAATATAATTTGTGTTGGAATGTTCAGTTTTATTATTGCCATAATTATGATGAATTCCATTTTCTATTATATCATCAACACGTATGCAGATAATCATGTTTTAATTTTTGGATTATTTCTTAAAATCATACATGAAAATCACAAAATAAGATTTTCCTTGGAATGTGTATAGGTTTTTTAAGCATTTCTTCTCCAATTTTGATAATCCAAGACGATGCTTATGTATGAAAGATGGGAAGTTGCCTACCCTTCTATTGAAAGCCCATGAAGATACAGAAAGCCTAGATGCTGACAATGAATTAATTTAGACAATCAAACGTTTTTAAATCTGATTTAAATTCCTACCTCATCTCTGACTTCCCTGTCCCTATTTATACTGTACATATGTTGACCCAATTCAATTTCCACTGTGTTTATATACGAAACATCACCAGGCCATTCTGGATCTCCTCCTCCATGTTCATGTTCCGAATCCACCTCATGGTCCCCTGTTAAAAGATGGACATTCACTCTGAAGATAGGATGATCATGGCCGTCTATTCCATCGTATAACAAAGCTAAGGTTTGCCAGCAACCAGTCTGGACATCGTATGTGTGGCCATCGAATGTGATATAATGAGCAGCACCCCATACACGGCATTCCGCGGCATCTATTATAAACATCGGTTTATTAATTAAATATTCAAAATGTGTTTTGTATCTTGTGAAGACGACAGACCATATGTGGGTGTTGGCGTTTTCGACATAGCTTATCTAAATGTATTACGTTTATCAGAAATATAAACATCGATGCCTTCATAAGTACGTATGTTTTTCATCACGAGTCATTATGTCCTTTTTGTATGCCAGTTTCATCATTATTAGTATACCCATAACGTTTATGTAGATATATGAAGAAAATATGGGGCCCTTAACTACAAAATATCAATTTTCGGTAAAATAATTTAAATTACTACAAATTAGGAATTAATCTTACTAATTACCATTGAGAACACAAAACGGACAATCGCATTTACAGCGAACGCCACTAGTAGTTTCGCTACAAACCGGATCAAAATTAGTTGGACACTCTAATTGCCCTTGTTCTGTTGTCGCCGTTGGTCGCTGGGTTGTCCGCCTTGGTGTTGTCCGCCTTGCCGTCGTTGTTCTAGGCGTTGTTCGTCTTAGAGTAGTAGGTCTCGGTGTCGTTGGTCTCGGTGTAGCAGGTCTTGGTGTCGTTTGTCTTCTATAAGTCCTGGGTGTGGTTTGTTGTACAGTAGTGGTATCCGATGCTGCGTCATCACATTCATAGCCGTCTTTAAAATCACTTGCTTTCTTCAAAAGTGACTTAAACATCGATTCTATTTTGGAAAGTACCTTAGACACTTTTAGTAGCTGTTTACTGAAGGGTTTGAAAATCTTTTTCAGAGAGGTCAGTGTCGTCTTTTCCGAACCATCATCAAGCTTTTTAAGTGCACTGGCTATATCTTTACCCCATCTTTTACCAAGTGACGACAGAGTATTAATTTGCGATCGTTTTTGTTCCCATGTTAGTGAATCAAACGAGGACAAGTAGTCATCGGCCTGTTTCATTAGATTGTCTCCTAATATACTGATGTAATTATTTTCGTCCAGTTCCCTGTACTTTGATTTGACGCGGGGAGAGCCTGAACTCATGGCCGAAATTCCCTTTTGGATAAGTTTGACCTGTTTTGGCATTGGCTTTAGACTTTTAAGAATCGCTCTCAGTGACTTCTTTTCTGCAGAGGTCAACGTGTCGTCAGTTTTACTTTCTCCGAGTATGACTTTATAAATATCATTTAAGTTCTTCATTAAGTCGGGCATTGCTTTAGTCTTGTAGGTGTTCGTTAAGTCAATGCTATCTTGAATTCCATCGCATATTGCCACTGATTGACCTACCACATTTCTGTAGACTAGCGCCACCACGACGAGGCGCAAAATTAATAAATCTAAAATGTGAAAGACCATCTTTCATTATCTTATATGAAACTCACTGAACACTATATATTAATCGTGTATTATTCTTGGATTGCATACGTGTTATGCTGTTTGATCGCATGAGTACCATTGTGTTTTCTTCATTTATAAAGCTTCGTATATAAAACTATCAAATATACAGCTCGTATTATATGTAGTATAAGAACTAAAAATAAGAAGTCCACGAAGTGTGATACAACGGTTTAGTAATTTCAAATTATGATCGAGTCAATATATCTACTTACCCATACTTCCAGTTAATATAAATAACTTCAGGAAAGTCTACAGTTATATACAAAAACATGTTATGGAAAGTCCATGACATTAAATCTTGGACAGATAGGAAACAATTCGATTTCAAAATAATAATAAACCACCTGTTTAACGCAATGAGTGTCCCTTTCTCATGATAACAATGAGAAATACAGGAAAAACAATGACTCTTCATTAATTAGATTTTGTAAAACGTGACTGACCTTTACAGGAATACTCGGTTGACATTTCCGACTGCTAAAACAAAGCAGGACTTTCGTAGAACGGAGAACAATAAATGAACTACAGGCAAAATAGAACAAACATGTTTCAAAGTGCGCCATTGTCCGAATACACTGAGTTAAGGCCGTGCCTCTTGTGAAGTAGGAACAATAGAGACGAATATCTATGGTAGATATTAATTGTGTTTCACTGCGCTGCTGCTTCATATTTTTATTCACTTTGCTTTTACTGAAGGCTGTATTCATGTTTATCACGACATTAAAACATGACTGTGTAATTTCTAAATCATCGATATGATTAGTTTTCAATAGATTTAATAATATACTATCCTTCTTCAATTGTGTATTGTGCATTTAGCTTATGCCTTGGTCACATTTGCTACGATTTTCTCAACAGTACTCGGCCGATTGAGTATTTTGTTCAAAATTATATTCAGTTTTGAACAAAATACTCAATCGGCCGGCGCCTGGGAAAATCTTGGCAAATGTGACCGAGGCATCAAAAATTCCTGTATTTTATCAAACTACCGAACGCTTATCAAACTAAATGTTCGTAGTTTTGGAATAAATATTCCATAGACTGACAGAATCCTACATATAATAGCTCACTATAAATATGTTAACGGATCCGGCTTAAAACTTCAGATTTCAACCTTTTTTAGTTTATGTTTTTTCCTATTTTTCCCAAATGTTTTTAATTTTTATTATCCAATATTATCATATGATACTGATACAGGTCTGTGCTAGAATATCTTGTAGATTATGTCAACAAGTCGGGAAATAATAAAAAGATAAGTCACAACCTAGAGGTCGCGACATTTGGTTACCAAAACGGATCCGTTTCGCTAACTAGTTTGAAGGTTGCAGTATCATCAAAGAAGCGTATAAGAAACAGTACAAACTAAAGTGATGCTTTCCCAAAGGTGGATCGAGGCAAAATTATCAAACAACTACATTATTAAATAACTTCCAACAATGTTTCATTATGGAAACTGCTGTAAACAACATTACGGTACAGAGTACAATTCCTAAAAATTGCTAAAATTTGTAAAAACGTTATAGTAAGCTATGTTATAAGTTTGTTTAAAATCTGCATATGATTTAACAAAATAAACGTTAGAGTTTATCTTAGAGTCAGACGGATGAGCTTGATATAATAGTAATTAGACAACAGCAACGCCAAAGCGTAGAAAATCCCATTGAACAGCCATGACTGGCATTTTTACAAACAAAGTATATGGCAAAATTGGCAGCCATTTTTCAAAATGACCACCTTCTACCGCAAATGTCATTTAGACATTGTACCATGCTTAAAGTATTTACATACCAAATATGAACAGAATCGCTCCACTGCTTTTCGAGTTATGGTATGAGTACCGTAATCCAACTATAAAACGCTTACCCCCCATAGTGTTATATATCAAAATGTACCTGTTCATATAGGGGTTCGATTGATCTTCATCAAATTATAGGGAGTCAGGTTACTTTTTCAGATATCAGCGTCCATTTATTGTGACTCGCGTTTGCTACCACTTCCTCAATTCTGATATGATGGGCAAACGCGTAGTAAACGTGCTCACGTCGGAACTATTTTTGACCTACATCGCTATTTTCGTAATTCAAATGAAAGTTGAACTCCTCCTCTTTATTTTGATACCAAATAGTGGCATACTAGGTACCCTAGAAGCCAACTATGGCGTTATTTAGAACAATACCACGAGTTTTTAAATGGACTATATAGGGGTCATACCTTTTGGCGGATGGATATGGAACCTCATACCTTAATGTGTTATGACATCACACTGATTTTTGTCTCTGCAACTTTTTTTGGCAGAAGATATCATTTCTAGTTCAAAAATGCATAAAAACGTCGGAAATGGCTGAATATGTGAAAAATTTATCCATTTAGGCTAGAAAGGGTTAATTTACCCTACCCCAAATACGTCTAAATATGCTAGTCTAACTTTGCCACTGTGACGTCACAAATCTAACCTGACTATCTCTGAGTTTATTGAAGAAAATGATACGTCTGACAAACAGCTTTCATTCCTATATGGCACACTTTCTACTAAGAGTTGCATCATTGACTAAATCTAAGACAAAGGCCCTGTGTCCCGAGGATTTTGACTGAAATTTGGCCATTTTCGCCAAAATCTAACTAAATTGCAGTTTCCTTCACACCTGTATTTTGAAATGAATATTGCTACAATGTAGCAATTTAAAAATCACACATGCTTACTGTTTCTGTCGACCTGACACGTGTATCTAGCCTGTAAGAATGAAAAATCGCTACATTGTAGCAATTTCACTGAGATATGGGCCCTGAAAATCATGTAATTTTAGCAAAAAATGAAGATATAACCTGCAATTTTGACGGAATTTCAGAGGGCTTTCTTTCATTCCAGACCCTCCACGGGCCTCTTATGACCATTCTTATACTCACAATATGGTTGAAAGTGATTTCAAATCATTGTTTGCCCTACGCAGAACGAAAAAATCGATTCTGTTCTCAAATTCTGCTAGAATATTGGTCTCTGGCCAACTAGCAGACAATTTTAGGCCTCATATTAAGGTATGAGTACCGTAATCCAACACCAAATTCGAAAAATCATAACAATACTTTGCACATATGGCGTTCGTGACCAACTATAAAACGCTTACCCCCCATAGTGTTATATATCAAAATGTATCTGTTCATATAGGGGTTCGATTGATCTTCATCAAATTATAGGGAGTCAGGTTACTTTTTCAGATATCAGCGTCCATTTATTGTGACTCGCGTTTGCTACCACTTCCTCAATTCTGATATGATGGGCAAACGCGTAGTAAACGTGCTCACGTCGGAACTATTTTTGACCTACATCGCTATTTTCGTAATTCAAATGAAAGTTGAACTCCTCCTCTTTATTTTGATACCAAATAGTGGCATACTAGGTACCCTAGAAGCCAACTATGGCGTTATTTAGAACAATACCACGAGTTTTTAAATGGACTATATAGGGGTCATACCTTTTGGCGGATGGATATGGAACCTCATACCTTATAGTCAGAGGGGGAGAAACACCAGGGTTCAAAGATGACATACGCTTATAATGTAAATCTGTATTGAGATGACATCGTCGCTGATTGGTCAAAAGTCGACAAACAAATGACGTCATCAATGGCGGTTTAAAAATTTTCGAAATACGCTTCGAATAATATTATGTTCATTTCTGGCGTGTTAACCAATATCAAAGCTTCTCATTTCACATCAAGATAAAGAAAGGTGTACGGAATATGCCAATATCAATTAAACCATTCCATCGAAGCGTAGTATTTGATAACTAGCCGATGAAAATTCGAACGAACGAAGGTGGTAAGCAAGAGAGGTAATTCTGTCTGTCATCTTTAAACTCTGGGGCTTTCCCTCCTCTTCCTTATAGTAAATGGGGACAAAATGGTGGCCATTTTGAAAATGGCCGCCTTCTACCAAAAGTGTCATGAGACAGTGTGCCATGCTTATAGTATTCACATACCAAATATTAACAATATCGCTCTGCTGCTTTTCGAGTTATAGTAAAATATGTTAAAATGGCGGGCATTTTAAATAAAAAATGGCCGCCTTCTTCCAAAAGAGTCATTAGACAGTGTGCAATGCTTATAGTATTCACATTACAAATATAAACAAAATAGCTCCACTACTTTTCGAGTTTTAGTAGAATACATTAAAATAGCGGCAATTTTGAAAAATGGCCGCCTTCTACCAAAAGTGTTTGTGTGCCATGCACAGTTCAAAGGTCAATTCAAATAGTGGTGATTTTTCAGCTAGATATAATTTCATGTTTTATACATGTAAAATGATATATTTCTAAAAGAAAGTTTTATCTGTAGTGGTAAACATACAGGGAACATTCAGGAAGAAGACATATTTGGAAGTTGAAAAAATTCATATATTTTGAATAGTGAAGCAATATTATACATGCCATTGGGCATTTATATGCACACACTAACTCACATAAATAGAGAATTGGACATAATAGAGCTGGTTATACTTTGTATTAGTACAGCTCTACCTGTACTTTTCTGAGGTCAACATGCCCCATGGAAGAAACATATCAGGGCAACACAGACAGAATGGAGTGCACACTGCCCTGGCCATTACTAATAGGCCTACATTTCAACAGCAGCAGCAGCAGTAGCAGCTTCCTATAATTGACTATAAGGTAAAATTCAAAATGCTCGATGCAACGCAAGATGGCAATTTATAATACATCATACAGTTCCACAGGTTATACAGGCCGCAGGACTGGTTTGTGATTTGGGAAGTTTACTAAGTGCCCAATACATTCCTAGCTTAAAGACATGTTAATGAGACTTCTCCGTGGCATTTTTTCTTTATTCCTTTTTGTTTTAAATTTTTACACCATAACATTAACTAACTACTCAATATGCAACTTTTCACCCGTAGAATTTTAAAATATTAAGTTTGAAAATTCCATTTTTATAATGGAGCTCAATGGGAAATGACATAATTTGGATATTTTCAAATGTAGCGGCGTGATTTTCTTGAAATTGACAGATATAATAAATATTGGTAAGACAAAATGTT